CTGATAGTCAAACTCATTAGATAGTGGCCCATTAGGCGATGTGCCATGTCTGCTCCTTTTCCCCCGTACTTGTTCAAGACTTGGGGTTGGTTTATTTGTAGTTCATTGGATTATGAATAATAAAGTTTATGAGTTGTTACGTTCAATAGGATACCTCTGTCAACCACAAAATCTATCAAAACTATCACGTTAACAATTACCTCTGATAGTCCATCAACTTGTCAATCCGCTTCAATAGGATGGCAAGTCCACTAAAACTATCACGTTAATGATCACCTCTGATAGTCTGCTTTCTTCAAATTCTCCTGCCAATTTTCTTCAATAGGATGGCAGGTCCACAAAACTATCACGTTAACCCTCTTCAAGTAGGATGGCGGGTCCACAAAAACTATCACGTTAACAGTTACCTCTGATAGTCAAACTCATCAGATAATGGCATACCAGGTGATGTGCCTCTATTTCGACTTCATGGATAGTGCCTCACTAGGCGATGTGCCTTGTCTACCTCTTTTTCTTCCCCTGCTAAGTCTTAATCAAGACTGGGGGTTGGTTACTTGGAATCCTTTGGATTAAGAGTAACGAATCTTTCACATCGTCGAGTTAACATTACACTTCTGACGATCATCATCCCCACAGAGTATGCATTCAACTTGCATCACTCCCAATTTGTCACGTTAACAATATACCTCTGACAACAATCAACTTATCAATCCTTGACAATAGGATTATAAGTCCTCAAAATTGCTCAAATCGCAATCTTCCCCAGCAAGACGCTAAGTCTTCAAAATCTTGTTCAAATCACAAGCATCAAAATTCATCGCTTTTGATGATAAACTCATTTAGCAAGTTTCCCCAGCGAGACGCTAATTCCTAAAATCTTGTGCAAGTCACAAGAACACATCATGTCACGTTAACACTAAACCTCTGACAAATTCACTTATCAATCCTCGTCAATAGGATGATAAGTCCACAAAGTTGCTCCGATCGCAACACATCCCTGTCACGTTAACATTAAACCTCTGACAAATTCACTTATCAATCCTCTCCAATAGGATGATAAGTCCACAAAGTTGCTCCAATCGCAACACACATCCTGTCACGTTAACACTAAACCTCTGACAAAACCCACTTATCAATCCTCGTCAATAGGATGATAAGTCCACAAAGTTGCTCCAATCGCAACACACATCCTGTCACGTTAACACTAAACCTCTGACAAAATCAACTTATCAATCCTCTTCAATAGGATGATAAGTCCACAAAGTTGCTCCAATCGCAACACACATCCTGTCACGTTAACACTAAACCTCTGACAAAACCCACTTATCAATCCTCGTCAATAGGATGATAAGTCCACAAAGTTGCTCCAATCGCAATGTTAATCCTTTTTCAACAAGAATAGCAAGTTTTCATTATGAAATCCCCAACGGATTAAAGATTTTCTGGAATCATCCTAGTGATAATAAAGAAAATTTCTGAATTTCACTCTAAGTGGAAATTCATGCCAAGTTAATATTACACCTCTGGCGTTTTCAATTTTCTTTCAGTGTTTCAAGTAAAAATATAACACAGGAAGAAATAGTGACAAAGCCTACGTATTCAACATCGTAGCGCCAAAATCCATGCCTCACATGCATGGGGAATTTTATCCCGAATCCTAAGTAGGGATAAGTCAACGCCTAACACGCGTTGCCGGTTAGTCTTTCACCGTAAAAAAGGACAAAAGTCTACGTATTCAACATTGTAGCAGGTTGTTATTAATAACGCCAAAATTCATGCCTTACACGCATGGGGGACATTATCTCGATCCCTAATTAGAGATAAGTCTACGCCTAACACGCGTTGCCGGTTAGTCTTTTTTCGTAAAAATGACAAAGTCTATGTATTCAAAATCATAGCATCAAATCTAAGAGGGTTTATTCTCTTAGCACAACGTTACATGTGGAACGGACTTAGACAATCCATATGCTAGCCCGACTCAAACGGTAGTCGGTAAAGGCTTATCAAATCCGTTGATGGCTGAGGGTTTGCCAAAAATCCTATACATGTTTAAAGGCCCATCAGCTTAATGGATGTGAGCCGGGATTTGGAACAGATGAGCTAAAGACAAGTCTCAAAGACTTAGTCAAAAATGCACGGAAGCCACTTCCCTGTCTCAAGTCAAAACGCCGAGGTCAGACCCGCGTTGCAAAAATCATGACGCCGAGGTCATACCCTGGTTCCAAATTTAAAAACGCCAAGGTCAGACCTGCGTTACAAAAATCATGATGCCGAGGTCACAACCGGGTTTCAAATTCAAAACGCCGAAGTCAGCCCTGCGTCTCAAATTCAAAACGCGGGGGTCCACCCCCGCATTCCAGAAACAGGATTATGACGCAAACCTTCACAAAGGTCTTACGTGACAAATCCCTTCAACCAAGATGCCTTCGAAGAGAGTGCAGAGAACGACTCCTTTAAGACAAGAAATCAACAGCTCCAGGATCAGAGTGAGATCCAAAGTATTCCGAAAATTAGTCCCAGTCAACCGCGAACTTTTGAAAACTTTGGAGGGGGTTCTGTAGGCTGTCTAAAAATCACAATAGATAGCTTATCCTCCATCAAACACCGATGATGGAAGTTACAATCTGACGACTTCCAGAAGGTTACAATTTGAAGACTTTCACGTAGATAGCTGAAGGTTACAATCTGACGACCTTCACGACAACCGATGAGAGCTCTAGTTCCACAGCATTCACAATCAACATCGGGAGTTACAATCTGACGACTCTCATATTCTCAAGGAGCCAAGACGAAGATTACAGGACAATGATCTTTGCAACGCTATGACAAAAGAGATTACTTTGTGATAATCTCTTCAAGACAAGACGCGGAGGTCCTCCCCGTGTATCAACACCAAAACGCGGAGGTCCTCCCCGTATGTTAACATAAAAACGCTGGAGTCGAACCCGCGTTACAACATCAAAACGCCAGGGTCGATCCCGCGTTACAACATCAAAATGCTGGAGTCGAACCCGCGTTACAACATCAAAACGCTGGAGTCGAACCCGCGTTACAACATCAAAACGCCAGGGTCGAGCCCGCGTTACAACATCAAAACGCCAGGGTCGAACCCACGTTACAACATCAAAACGCCAGGGTCGAACCCACGTTACAACATCAAAACGCTGGAGTCGGACCCGCGTTACAACATTAAAACGCTGGGGTCAGACCCGCGTTTTTCAATGCCCAGCGAGTACCCAACTCCGCGTCTCAATTCTAAAACGCGGAGTTAGGATCCTGAACGCCCAGGAACCGTTTTCCCTCCACGATTTAGGGATTTCCGCCCCACTATGGAGAGAATTAAGGGGGCGGTTACACCCCTTAATTCCCTATAAATATGGACAAACTCAAGTGAGTTAAAGGCTGGCATTTTCGGATCTGAGAATTGGCAGCAAGGTTGGATTTTCTTGGCTTGGATCGACCACTGGAGACAGGCTTTTGAGGAGATCGGCATCATCTTCCAACGAAGATCATCTTCAACTTCAGCAACAGAGAGCCTCTGTCCTTGGCTTATAACCGACTTTCGGTTCAAATCAACTCTTTTTCAAGAGTTAAAACTCGTTCAGAGTTATCAACTCATCAAGAGTTTCAAACTTGCCACGCAAGTTCTCCACAGCGTCGAATCGTGAGGAGAAGACATCGTTCCAGTGAAGCAAAACATCGGATCGTCAACGGAGAGCAAACTAGACGCAAGCATTCGAGGGAGGCATCTCATCGCCACCGTGAAGAACCCAGATTTAAACAAAGGGGAGAATCCAGATCATTCTCCTCTCTTTTGTAATCAAGTTGTAATCAGAATCAAAGGAATACAAATCAATTTTCTTTGTTCTTTTCATTGCAATTTTTCCTACAAACATCAGGTTTATTGCGATTAACGGTGCAACAAAAGATATTAAAACCTGGATCAATGGAGAGGTAAAGGAAATCACATTGTGCTCATATTTCATTGAAATAGTAGCCAAGAAATAAACCAAGGAAAAATAAAATTGTTCCATAATCTGAAAATGAGATCATGTTGGTATATAATGGAGAAGGTAAAGGGAATGTCAAGAACATACATCTCTCTCTTCACATGGCTGAGTTGTGCACATGCCACAAAAATGCCATTTTTATAACAATAAGAGAGCAGGCACATGGATCTCTGATCACACACCAAAATTTCAGCCATCTCTCTTCTCCAGTTCCAGCTAATCATGCCCCCACCTAATAATGATTAGCTAGTAGTTGCTACTAATAAGGAAATGGGTAATTTTCTAAGTCTCTGTGTCAACTCTGAGATGCTCTCATCCTGTCGAGATTATATAAAGCTAGTCTTTGTACTTGTGATATGGGATCAAAGAGAAAAAAGACACGTAAATTTTCAGGGTGAATGTCTGTTAACTGTGCCAATGTTAAAACTCGAAGCAGGAGATGGGGCATTTTTAACCGAGGAAGAATCACTCAGAATCTATGTTGTACAGGCACATGGAAATGAAGCCAAAGATAAAGAGACAATATGGTACAGTGGTACGTAATAATGATTTCTGTTACCAAAAAAAAAAGTACACACATGTATATGTTTTTTAAAGAATATGAGCGCATAAAGGAAGAATACACACAGAGGCACTTTCCTGGTTCAAACAAGCCTGGCCTTTGTATGAAAGAGATTTTACTAATGAGAATGTGAAGTTTAAGAGAGCAACAGACCCAACATATAAATTTCCCACTAAAAATATTTAAACAAGGTTTCTGAAAGTATGATGCACAGAATGGACCCAATGCCAACACTGATTTCTAGTCTAAGTCCGATATAGGTACATAAAGAGATAAATGAGAGATTAATTACAATTGGATTCATCGGTTTGATATTTTGACTGCAAATTTTTCCACAGAATTAAGCTCCAGATTTAAAAAAAAAACAAGCAAAAGGCCATGTTTATACCATTTATTAAGAATCAGCCCCCACCGCATTGGACAAGAAATAATGTGTGAAAGAATAAAATTCAGATCAAAGTACTTATTACACATATAAACCAATGCTAAAGAAACAAATATCAAATAACAAGACTTTTTTTAGATACAAATTCCCTATTGTTTACAAACTTTTGGAAGGCACTTAAAACAAAATACCCGAATTCTCAATTCCACAGTTACTTCTGAGGACTCTTTTTCTTCAACATAAACTTAAAGAAGTGCTTCTTCTTCTTTTGCTGCTGCTGTCGCTGCCCCCCATCTTCATTGATCTCTGATGGCAATCCATTTGTATTGTCGAAGCTACCGCCCTCATTCTTCAGGTCCAAATCTTCATCAAGAGCTTCCTCCTCATTCTCCGTGTCCTTCTCATTATCCACACATTTATAACCTTCCAACATCTTCACTTCCACTTCTACTGGTTCTTCCTCCCATAGATATTGATGCCCTTTTCTAATCTCTTCTTCATTCAGATCTTCTCCTGATTTGGGTTTTTCTTCTATGCTCCCGTTAACAAGTTTTTCTTCTACGCTCCCATTAACGCTCTCCATCGGAATTTCCTTGGAGTTTGGTAGCAAATCATACTCTTTTTCACTGTTTGATAGCTCACCATTTTCATCGATCTTCTTTACTTCTTCAACAGCTTCCTTTGCAACCATGTTCTCTCCATGTTCCTTCACAACCTCCACTCCATTATCTAATTTTTCGAAATTAAAGTCTTGGGTTTCTTCAGTCTCAAGTTTCTCAATGGCTTTCTTCAGACAAACGATCTCATATCTTGCTTCATCAAGCATAACCTCATAATTCTCCTCGGTGTTCCTGATAGCTGATCTCAATTGCTCGACCTGAGCAAGGGCATTTTCATGTTCAACTCGTTTCGCGAAAAGCCTTTCTTGAGTTTCTCTAGCCTCAACAGACATCTCATGCAAAGCTGAAGCTAAACCCTCCATAGCCTTTTTAGCCTTCTCCTCCTCCTCTCTTGCAATCTCTAACTCTTTCAGAAGTTTTTGCCTTTCCCCAGAGAAACTTGCAGCATCAGCAGCTGCAACCTTCTCCTTCTCGAGAGCTTGAATATCAGATTTCAAATCTTCGACTTCTTTACTCATCTCACTTGCTTTTTCTTTATGACGGTTGAGCTCAATCTCTAGTGACTCTATCTTCACCCTTAAACCAGCATTCTCAGATAAAACATCTTGCAGGGAAGAATTACTGTCCTCCAGTTGTTTTGTAACTGAAGCAAGTGAATCTGATGATGACTCCGTAAATTTGTTGGCTTCTGCTAACTGAACTTCCAAGAGCTCCGCTTTCTTCTTCCACTCATCAGTGAAGTTTCTCGAGTTCAGTTCTGCCTTCTTCACATCAGCCACCTCGATCTCCAAAGACTCTACCTTTCCTCTAAGAACAGCAGCCTCAGACTCAGCATCCTGCAGTGAAGCATTGAGCTCCTCCAACTGCTTTGATGATGACTTCTCAGCTTCGTTGGCCTCCTCCAATCGATCCTCCAATAGCTCTACCTTCTGTCTAAGAGCAGCAGTCTCAAACTTAGAATCTTGTAATGAAGCATTCCACTCCTCCAGTTGTTTCTTCGCTGAATCTAGAGACTCCAGCGAGGATTTCTCAGATTCCCTAGCTTCCATCAACTGAGTTTCCAAGGATTCTGCTTTCTTCTTCCACTCATCGACTAACTTAAGGGACTCGAGTTCCGCATTCTTTGCATTGTCTGCCTCATTGCTGAGCCTTTCGATCAATGTTTCCATGATAACCAACTTCTCCTCTGATTGCTTGGCAATTTCAAGTTCATACTTCAATGAATCATTCTCGGAATCCAATTTATTTATTATCTTAGCAGTATCTCCATTCGTGCTATCAAACTTGGAGTCTAGCAAAGATTTTAAACGAGTAACCTCACCAGAGAGGAGCTCTACTTTATCAGCATTCTTTTCTGCAGTTTTCATTGCATCTTCAGCTTGGCTAAGGGCAGAAATCTTAGCCGAGGTAGTTGCCTCTAACTCATTCTTAACCTTTTCCAGCTCCTCGGTTTTGGACAACAAAGCCTCAACATCTAAAGAATGCTTCCTTTTTATGTCATCAATTTCTTTTCCCCATGCCTCTTCCTTCTTCTTAGATGATTCGATGCTAGTTTGCTCCAATTCAACTGCTCTAAACTTCTCAATCTCTGAGCTCTCCTCGGCCTTCTTCAGAGCAGCAAGAGCCTCCTTGAGCTTCTCATTGGCCTCGTCGGCCAATCTTTTTGCATCCTTCAGTTCTTCCTCAGCTCGAGCCTTCTCCTGCTCAGAAGCGGCTAACTGATCCTTTGCCTTCTTGAGATCTTCTTGGGCTTGTAACTCCGAGGGTCCCTTGGGTGTTCTTGGTTGTTTCTAACATCAAAAAAACCAGAAAACAAATACATTAAATTTTATGATGAAATTTGCATATTGAACAAAATTGCAGGTAGAGTTTCTTACATCAGGTGTAATGCTTCTAGATTTAGGTGCTTTACGCTCAATCTTAGGCTTCGATTCAACTGATTTTGGCGTGCTGCGTGATTTTTGAAGAGGTGGAGCGCCAGAGTCTGATTTTGTAGAACCATTTCGACCAGTTTTCACTGCTTTAGGGGTTGCTTGTGGAGGCTTATTGTTTGAGGTATCAGACAGGCCAGATCTGTTCAAGATCCAAATCTCAGGAACTCAATCCATATGACCAAAATTACAGATAGTTGTGACAAAATACGGGCATATATCACATCATAAACTGAGTTAGCGTCTAGTAATTAAGAGACATTTTGATCAAATAACTATGAACCTATTAGATACAGGAAACACTAGAAGCAAAAATAAAAATAAAAAAGTTCATATTGAATCTAGATCAACTACAGAAGAAATCAAAAGAGCATTGTGCGTCACTATCATGAGCAAAAGTATGCGCAATAATTTTTGTCCATCTTGTTAAGAAAATTGAAATAGATTTTAATCAACCGACAATAGCCTACAACAGTGTAGCATAATCAATAAAATTGGCAACACTGGAGACATTTACTGATTTCAACAAATGATCGAACTCATTGCGCGGAAATTCACCTGAATTTTCAAAAAGAAAATTAACCGGTTTTCCAAAATGAGATTAAGCCAGGTATAGACAGAATCACACAAAAGCCAGACAAAATAAAAAAGAAAACATCTTGCAAACAAAGACGAGAGAATTAGCAGGAAATTCAATAAATTTTGACTGTCGGCAGCACAGAAAATTAACACCGGGGTCAGAGATAAACCCAGATCGAAAATAAATCAAAAAGCACCCAAAATCAAAAAAAATACAACATCTTGTAGGCAAAGAGAAGAAATTTAGGAGAAAATTCAACAAAAATGGACTGTCGGCGGCCCAAAAAATCAACACAGGGGGTCAGGCAAACAAATTATATAACAGACAAACCATAGAGATAAAATTATCAAAAATGGGGCAACACCCAATTGAGAAACACACCCAAAAGCCCCAAAAACATCGAAAAAAATTCATCTCGCAATAAAATGAAAACAATGTACAGATTCCAACAGATCCAGTGAGAGGAAGAAGCTTTGACCTGGGCTTAGATGGCATCATCGTAATTCCGAGAGGTGGGTTGGAGATTGAGAGTCTAAACTCTAAAAAGTGAGAAGAAGAATTGAAGAAGAAGGAGAAAGAAGGAATTAATTAAATAATAATAAATAAAATGCAGTTGTTTGGTGAAGTCCCCATCATCCCACGAACTCCCTGAGAAGTAGCTACCACCAAAGCGACAAAGAAGTGCATCTAAAACCATAGGAGAGTGTATATATCAGGGGAAAACTTTTCGAAACGCCTTCGTTTGTGTTTTATTTTTTTTTTTTCCACAAACACCTTCAATTAAAATTTTCAACAAAGATTCCACACCCATTTATGATCACTGGCTCTATTTTTTTCATGGGCTTTTAAAGAAGAGGTGCAACATGAGGACTTCCCGGCTGTCACTCATTCTAATACTACTCTGATCCAAGTACGCTTAATTGCGGGGTTCTAATGGGTTATGGTGCACTGGTGCTGGTATGATTGCAAATCTAGTGCTGAGTTTAACATTACTTACTAAAAGTTTAGATTTGTTACATCACTCAATACTTAACATTTTCCCTTATCGTTTTTCTTTTAAGGGGTTTTCCCTTATCGTTTTTCTTTTAAGGGGTTGTTTGGTTGGTTTCCTAAAAATCAAGAAAAGGAAAAGGGTGCATGAAAATCAATAAAATATTATTTTCATCCATTTCCATCCCTAAAACTCACTTCAACATCCAATAAAATATTATTTTCATCCCACAACTCATCTCATATCATCTGCTACCAAACACAAAAAATGGGTCACATCATCAACTCATCTCATCTCCATCACATCTCATCTTTAAAAATCACTCTTATCATCCAATAATATTGTGACAACTCAACTCATCTTATTTAAATTTCATTTTCATTCATTTCCTCCAAAAAAAACTAGAAAATCGATTTCCTTTAAGTGTGGGTCACATCATCCAATAATATCAACTCATCTCATCTGTTTTCTTATTTTTATGAATGAACCAAACACAAGAAAAGAACCTATTACAGGAAATAGATTTCTTATAATTTATTTCTTTATTTTTTAAACCAACCAAACAACTTCAAAATAAATGTTCTTAAAAAATGACACACATTATCCAATAATAATGTGACAACTCTCTTTGATTTCCTTCTTTTTCTAGCCAACCAAATAATCTCAAAATAATTTTTCTTAGAAATATGTTTTCTATTCTTTGATTTCCCTCTTTTTTTAAGCAAACAAACAGCCCCTAACCCTCAAGATCTAGAAGTCTAATCAAGTGCTAACATATGCTCGAGTATGTGAAGAGCAAAAGTCTGTTGCAAAACTAACGGTTCATTAACAAGCATAAAAGAGGGATTTTGCAGGAGCTTATTAGATTAATGGATTTCTTTAAAATAGGACACACATGGAGGGACATTTTTATAATTTAGCCTAGATTTGATTACTGAAATAACTGAAGCTGAGCTGGTGCTTGTTAGGAAATTTTCTTCGTTGGTTAAGTCGTGCTTCATTTGCTCCTTTTTGGTATCTTATTTTGCTATTTTTGGTGCATGGAAAACTTGCCTTCTATATTGTGTGCTTCAATACTTTCGACTTTGATTCCCACATAAATTGATGGTTTAGGAATTGAGATCACACTACCATAAAAAGAACTAGTGGAATTGTCACTATTTTTAATTATAGCTTTTGTGATTCATTCAAAATTTTAGTACTTAAAATATTTCTGGTATACATTATTCACAAGTGTGAACACCGTGCTTTTTTTTTCGCTACAGTAGTCCCGATTCTAACTGCTATAGTTTTTGAATTTTTTGAATTGATGCAGTATCTCGCTCCTGCTATAGTATTCCCTTTGTGCTATAGTAATATTTTTTTCAAAAATCATGTTGCCCAGTTTCATATGGATAGAGGAGTAGATTTCTAACTTTTGCTCAAGATGAATCTCAAAATTATCTAAATATTTTGATTAAGATTAAATATAATGATATCTTTCCTATATTTTACAGTAAAGATAATCTAATAGGATGTATAATTTATAATTCTAGTTAATTATGGTGATTTATATAAGCTAGTGATCAACTTAATGTTGTGCGCGGTGCGGAAGCGTGACAACTAAACGGGCGTGCTTCGAGAACCAAATCAAACAAACGTCGAGAGAAAGGCCAAACAAATCAAAACAACGGCACAAATCCAAACACAATAGTTTTACGTGATTCGGCAAATTGCCTACGTCCACGGGGTAAGAAGGGGATTGGGTTTTCACTAATAGAGAAGAAGAGTACAAACTGAGATTACAAAACGCTCAAACCAATCAACTAATTGTTTGTGTCAAAAATCGTTGTTTATATTGTGATTGAATCTATTACAACTTTAATCGTTTACAATAAAAACATTACTTACTAAAAGTTTAGATTTGTTACATCACTCAATACTTAACATTTTCCCTTATCGTTTTTCTTTTAAGGGGTTTTCCCTTATCGTTTTTCTTTTAAGGGGTTGTTTGGTTGGTTTCCTAAAAATCAAGAAAAGGAAAAGGGTGCATGAAAATCAATAAAATATTATTTTCATCCATTTCCATCCCTAAAACTCACTTCAACATCCAATAAAATATTATTTTCATCCCACAACTCATCTCATATCATCTGCTACCAAACACAAAAAATGGGTCACATCATCAACTCATCTCATCTCCATCACATCTCATCTTTAAAAATCACTCTTATCATCCAATAATATTGTGACAACTCAACTCATCTTATTTAAATTTCATTTTCATTCATTTCCTCCAAAAAAAACTAGAAAATCGATTTCCTTTAAGTGTGGGTCACATCATCCAATAATATCAACTCATCTCATCTGTTTTCTTATTTTTATGAATGAACCAAACACAAGAAAAGAACCTATTACAGGAAATAGATTTCTTATAATTTATTTCTTTATTTTTTAAACCAACCAAACAACTTCAAAATAAATGTTCTTAAAAAATGACACACATTATCCAATAATAATGTGACAACTCTCTTTGATTTCCTTCTTTTTCTAGCCAACCAAATAATCTCAAAATAATTTTTCTTAGAAATATGTTTTCTATTCTTTGATTTCCCTCTTTTTTTAAGCAAACAAACAGCCCCTAACCCTCAAGATCTAGAAGTCTAATCAAGTGCTAACATATGCTCGAGTATGTGAAGAGCAAAAGTCTGTTGCAAAACTAACGGTTCATTAACAAGCATAAAAGAGGGATTTTGCAGGAGCTTATTAGATTAATGGATTTCTTTAAAATAGGACACACATGGAGGGACATTTTTATAATTTAGCCTAGATTTGATTACTGAAATAACTGAAGCTGAGCTGGTGCTTGTTAGGAAATTTTCTTCGTTGGTTAAGTCGTGCTTCATTTGCTCCTTTTTGGTATCTTATTTTGCTATTTTTGGTGCATGGAAAACTTGCCTTCTATATTGTGTGCTTCAATACTTTCGACTTTGATTCCCACATAAATTGATGGTTTAGGAATTGAGATCACACTACCATAAAAAGAACTAGTGGAATTGTCACTATTTTTAATTATAGCTTTTGTGATTCATTCAAAATTTTAGTACTTAAAATATTTCTGGTATACATTATTCACAAGTGTGAACACCGTGCTTTTTTTTTCGCTACAGTAGTCCCGATTCTAACTGCTATAGTTTTTGAATTTTTTGAATTGATGCAGTATCTCGCTCCTGCTATAGTATTCCCTTTGTGCTATAGTAATATTTTTTTCAAAAATCATGTTGCCCAGTTTCATATGGATAGAGGAGTAGATTTCTAACTTTTGCTCAAGATGAATCTCAAAATTATCTAAATATTTTGATTAAGATTAAATATAATGATATCTTTCCTATATTTTACAGTAAAGATAATCTAATAGGATGTATAATTTATAATTCTAGTTAATTATGGTGATTTATATAAGCTAGTGATCAACTTAATGTTGTGCGCGGTGCGGAAGCGTGACAACTAAACGGGCGTGCTTCGAGAACCAAATCAAACAAACGTCGAGAGAAAGGCCAAACAAATCAAAACAACGGCACAAATCCAAACACAATAGTTTTACGTGATTCGGCAAATTGCCTACGTCCACGGGGTAAGAAGGGGATTGGGTTTTCACTAATAGAGAAGAAGAGTACAAACTGAGATTACAAAACGCTCAAACCAATCAACTAATTGTTTGTGTCAAAAATCGTTGTTTATATTGTGATTGAATCTATTACAACTTTAATCGTTTACAATAAACTCAAATAAAAAAGTTGACATTTTTATAAGATCTCCTTATACAATGAAAATACAAAAAGATACGACTCTTGTCAAACAGTGCAACGAATGTTTATCACCCGCTGCTTGCGTGGGAACTTTGCCTGTGTCGGGGACGTTAATATCCGTGGACCGCCGCGGATCAGATCCGGTTGACAGATAAATGATCAAAGCTCTCACTTCACGAAGGAAGTAATCGCTGTAGCGATGATCTCGACCAAGCGAGATCACAGCTCTTCTCGAGATTTAAGACTAAGCTTAAATCCGGAGGAATAGAGGACGGGTCTCGGATCTCTTGAACTCCACTCTTTATGCACAGGAGATCGCCAAGATTTGCTAACTCTTGCTGTAAATTCGTGACTTCACTCTCCAATTCGATAGCGTTTCGCCCTCTTGATGTCCCAGATCCGTAAATCGAGGCCTTTGGCTCATATTTATAGGCCTCGGATACGGTTATTTGGATGAGAATGGTGGATTTCTCTTTATCTTCAGTTAACAACTGTATAACCACGGTATCAGATCAGTTAGAACGTCCAGGAACACACAAATCCCAAAAAAAATCCACAAAAAGAACCGAAACAGGCTCAAATCTGGCCGAAGCGTCACCCGGTGGCTCGGCCTTAGGCCGAGCCACTGGCCCGACCGGATCGTTTTGACGCGATCCGGCCGCCAGAGGCTTTCTTGGTTTTCTCGGGTTTGACTCGTTCCGTCGTTTATGTGTATTTTATTGTTTCGCCGACCGATACGCTTCCTCGATTCGTTTTGCACATTTCGTGAACACGCGGATCGCTTGGAACTGGGTGGTGAGTGCGTGGAATTGTCGGTCAGCGCACGGGACGTTTGGTTCGTCGTGCCGGTGGCCGTTGAGCATACAGGCCACTTGACGGTGGTCGATGAATACACGGGC